TCTGGTTGTCCGTTGTCTTCTTATGATCTTGCAACATAACCATATATGGCTTAGTCAATGTGGTGCAGTGGTTAAGAGTGGTAGACTTGTAATCTGGTGAACCAGATTCGCTTCCTCACTCCTCCACATGCAGCTGCTGGGTGATCTTGGGCTAGTCACACTTCTCTGAAGTCTCTCAGCCTCACTCACCTCACAGAGTGTTTGTTGTGGGGGAGGAAGAGAAAGGAGAATGTTAGCCACTTTGAGATTCCTTTGGGTAGTGATAATGTGGGATATCAAATCCAAACTCTTCTTAGTCCTAGGCTATCTGAAGGACCATCTTCTCCCATATGAACCTGTCAAGCTCTGAGATTTTGGGGAGATACCCTTCTCCCAGTCCCTATCGCCCTCAAAGGCATGTTTGGTGGGGACACAGGAAAAGGGCTTTGTGGTGGCCACTCCCACACCTTGGAACTCCCTCCCCCAAAAGGCTAGACTGGCTCCAGCTTAATGTCCTTCCACTGGCAAGTGAAGACTGTTTTATTTCGGCAGCCTTTCAGGAATGGAGTGTTTTCAAAGGAAGAGCTGTTAATAGAGCAGTGCTGGTTTTTCTAAAACTAGATTTGTTGTCTAGATTTTCAATCATTTTCAATTTAATATTTATTCAAGGATTCAGGATGAAGCTGTAAGAGAAATCAGAAACCGCATAGAAAGAAAACGACGGAAAGTTTCTAGCCGACCTTTCTTTGGATACAATGTCTAAGTAATGTACATAAAACAGCAGCATCCCTTACATCCAGAGTTGCACGAGATGTTTTTGTAGCCTGAAGAAAGCTAGTAGCGATATTCAGGAGATGCATGCAATGAATGAATAAACAGATAAACATGTGCCTCCTGTGCATCATGCCAAGGTGTCTTTTTCCATGGTTGAGGTAACACAGAGAGAGAGGCTGCTGTTTTTTTCTGAAAGAGGCTAACCTTGGCCTCTCAGAGAAGTGGTTTGACAGGACCAGCAATGAGGCTACCTGCTGCTGGCGGCCAGTTCTTCAGGACCTAGGACAGCAGCCACTTAGTTCTGATGTTGTTCCAACCAGGGCTAGAGTTCAGTGGAACCCTTCAAAACTTCTTCAATCTCAAGCACTAACATCAGCCTCCTTTAACTGGAGACTTGTAGCTTTGCACTCCAACAGCACCAAACAGCCTGCTCATACACCATCTATGGCCTCTGATCTGACCTCCCTGGGAAAGTATGGGAGTTGGATTGTTATTGAATTCTCCAGGCTGAGGATTTGAGCTCTCCATTTGTGTTATTTGGTGGCCTTGGCTACAGAGCCGGATGTCTGGGCTCCACCTTCAGGGGGAATTCTGAGTTTCTTCCCCTCCACCTCTCTTGGAGCCAATCTCTGAGACCCGTGTCAGCCTCAACTTGGCCCACATCAGTAGAGATTCCTACCATATCTGAGTCTCTGCCTAGCACTAGTAATAGCCAATAGGGTTGGTTTTGTGGTAGTCCAGAAATTACACTGAAACCAAGTGTTTCAATAGAGATGAACAGCACTATTGTATGCATGTCTACTCAGGAGCAAGTGCCACAGTTCACAGGGCTCAAAGAAATCCAATCAAAGGATTCCTTGAGATTCCAGGTAAGAAATCCAATCGAGCAATAATGATAAGGCCTCTCCTCCACTTGTTGTTGTGCTGTAATAACAATGGTTCATGCAGTGAGATGGAGCGATATGAAAAACTTTTTAGAGCTAAGAAAAGTCTAAAGCAACACACAGCCCTCACTTCATGTTCCCATTTGCAAGCCACCACCTGGGTAGCAGGTCCATGATGCAGAAGGAGATATTCTACAACTCCATCTTTATGTCCACTGTTTGTCTTGCACTGATCATCTCCTAAATGGCTACATTCATTTGGAAACAGGAAGTCCCAGTTGGGACTCCTTGCCAAACTCTTCATAAAATCCTAGCTGCAGTGTGGAGATACGCTTCCATTTGAATTACATGGGTGATCCACCACCCATGCCACAAGAAGTGCATGCGTGTTGGAACTATCTTTATGGGGGTGAAACAGGGGAAAAAACAGCAGGGGGCAGAGATCGGAACCATGTGGGCACCAGACCATTGCTAAGAATAAGCCTCCCTAGCAACAGACGCCCTGCCCTATAAGCTATCATTGCCACATGACATGGCCATGCCACTCCCTTGTCTAAGCAGCACCATGATGGGGTTTCTTGTGTACTCTGCTGGGTACAGTGGACTCATACTGGCAGAAGCAGCTCTCCTGGAGGGGTGGAGCCACTATGCTAACTTCCCAACAGGTTGGTCACTGCTAATTACTTGGAAGGAGAGGGGCGAGGCAGTGGGGAGGGAGGCGTGATGCAAACACAATGGCAGAGCCAATCTGGCACTCCTGCTGGTGCATTTGCACCATGCTGCCCTCCCCACCTTCTTACCCCTCCCAGTAAGCAACAGCAACCCAACCTGGCAGAAAGCTATGGTAGCTGGGCTGCCCCATCCAATGAGCTGCTTCTGCCTACTGGGCTTTAGAATCTATTCTCATTAGCTAGTCACCCACGTGAGCAATATGAACATTCATTTTTCTCCATTTGCTGTAATGGAATCGGGGTACAGGCAACTCCCCATTTATGCACATTCAAGGCACATGCAACCTCACATGTGTGCATTGCTGCAAACCTGGAATTGGCACGAAAATGGCAAAAATGGTGTGAAAACAGCGTCTAGCAATCCCACAAGCCTTTGCACCAACCTTTGAGGCCTGTGGAGAGTTGAAGTTTGGGCAAGGAAGTTTGGAGGGAGCCATTGGGGTATTTGCAGGCTTTTTTATGGTGTTCCCAATATACACACTTTCATTTCCAAGGCACGGTGCCTTGGAGCGTAGCCCCTGCATAAATGGGGAGTTGCCTGTATTTCTGCACTGGCCCAAGGAAGGCTCTCCAAATTACGGTAACTTAACTGTGCCAGTCATGCTAGCACTATAATCTCCACTCCTCCCCACTCTGTGCCTGCAAGTAAACCTGGATTCATCACAAAAGGTAATGTTATTTCAGGAGGCCTTTGCACCACAAAGATTGTTCTAATGTTTCTGATTTCTGATGTTTCAATCTATGTTGTAAATTCTGTATGTGGTTTTGTTCTTGCAAGCTGCTTTGAGACATACAGTGAAAAGTGGGCTATAAATTCAATAAATTAATTACACAAACAAACAAACAAATAATTAAATAAATTAGTATGTGACACATCAGTGCAATTCTGATGTGGATCCAAAATCCCAGTTTTCAGAAGCTGCTGGTGTGGTGGAATGGAGTCACCCTTGTGACAGAGGCATAGAGGCAGCTGACCTGTATGAGGCAGGAGGGCAATGAAATTATGGCTGGGCAGATTCAGCAGCTGCTGTGCCAGATTTGCTGCACTGGTTACCTGCATAGCCCTGGCCTCATCGCATTGCCACCAGAGGTGGATTTAGGGGAGTGTGCCACTGGGCACGGAGCCTTGGGGGTGCTGCAGGTGCTGCCACAACTATGATTTAGGATGGAGCATGAGAGATGGGTTGGGGCATCGAATTGCAGCGACCTGGGTGTTGGGAGCTCAGCTTCACCCTGCCCAAAATGGCTCCTCCTGAAAATCTGCCCCCAATGCAGACACATCCTTAGCCCCGGGTTCCAGTAAACTCAAACAGAACTGGGGACTCTCAAACCCTTCCATTGGCCTTGAAGGCTGCTGCAGGAACAGTGCAAATATACAACAGGCAGCCATGCTCAAACTTGCCTATAGCTTTCCTTTTGTTGTTGTTGTTGATGATGATTATCTAAATCTACTTAGTTGCTTGAAGAATGTGACAATGGGGAGCATGGGAGCCAATTCCTAGGGGCCGAGGGGTATTTGCCCCCAATAAAATATTGAGGGAGTTGTCCCCCTGTTGATGGGAACTGCCATTCAAATAGTCCGCGTGCACCGCATCATGTGATCGATTATGCGGGACGAGGCTTACTTGCGTCCCCCCCAGATTTTATTCAAGTTGGTACCCCTGATGGGGAGTTTGATGGTGGGGCAAAGGGATTCTGGCACTAGCCTTCTTGAAGCCGAGATTGTGCTTATTCCTATTAGCTTGCCCCGTGGGGCTTTGTTCCTGAGCGAGCAGGAGGAGAAATCGAGCCAGAAGCCTTTACAAAAAAGCGAGGAGGGGGGTAAATCAAGAGAGTTTCGCCGCAGTCCTCTCTGCCCGTGTATTTTTATCCCGCATAAATATAGACACACAGAGTCGCCGTGTGGTATGGCAGGCACCAAGAGAACACAAGAAACGTTCTCTCTCTCTCTCTTTCCAGAATCTACCCAGAAATACAGAGTTAAAGAGAGCGGGGGCGGTGGTGCGGGGGGTGAAAAGAAAGGAGAAAGGGGATCATCGTTGATTCTCAACGTGCCAGCAGCAACAGCAGCAGCAAGTTGCCCTAATGGTTTGATTTATAAGCAGGATAATAAAAATCCCATTAGGCTTCTCATTGAGAAAAAACACAGAAGAAAGCAGCAGGGGGAGGAGGGAGAAAGCCCGCACGTGTGTCACTGAGGCAAGCATTGACGCAGGCAGCGCTGACGTCAGCAGCCTCAGCAGCAGGGACAGGACTGGGTGAATGGAACACGAGCGCGCGAGGGGAGGGGGGGAGCAGGCGCCTCTCCATTCACTCCCGCAGCCAGAGCCGCTGCGCCTCCCCTCCCCCAGCCCCGACCAGGCGCGCAGCCTACGAGCCCCGCAGCCTGCATCAAGGGGCCAGGCACGGAGAGCAGGGCCGGGCCGGCTGCTCCCAATCCGTCCCTGGGGTGCGTGGGTGGGGGAGAGGCTTGGGCAGGGAGGGGAGGGGTGTCCTGGCTCCTGGAGACAGCAGAGTCCCGGGAAGAGGGATCCAAGGGAAGGGTGGGGTGCAGATAGCAGGCTGCAGGGGAGGCCAGCCTGGGCTTGGATGAGCGAAGGCAGCAGGCTTGGTTCACTTGGTGAGGCGGGAGGCATCTCAGTCAGTAGAGCATGAGACTCTTAATCTCAGGGTTGTGGGTTCGAGCCCTACATTGGACAAAAGATTCCTGCATACTTCTTCTTCTTCTTTGGCAATCACTCGTAGCCGAGTAAGATTGTCTTCCATAAACACAGTTTTAACAATGAGTCCGTAAGTGACTGTGGAGGCCAATTCTGGATCCACACGTCCTTCCACAGTGGGGACATTGGTTTCTGGGCGGGAGTTGATCACGGTGTGGATTTGCCAAGCGTGCCTTCATCCTAGCATGTTTCTCCCTTGCGTCCTGAGTTCGAGTGTCTTCAAAGCCCATGGCACCTTTGGTAAAGGCTGTTCTCCAACTGGAGTGCTCACAGGCAGTGTTTCCCAATTGTCAGTGTTTATACTACATTTTTAAAGATTTGCCTTGAGACAGTCTTTAAACCTCTTTTGTTGACCACCAGCATTACGCTTTCCATTTTTAAGTTAGGAATAGAGTAGTTGCTTTGGAAGACGATCATCAGGCATCCGCACAACATGACCAGTCTAACGAAGTTGATGTTGAAGAATCATTGCTTCAACACTGGTGACCTTTGCTTCTTCCAGTACACTGATATTAGTTTGCCTGTCTTCCCAAGTGATGTGTAAAAATTTTTGGGGACGCCGTTGATGGAATCTTTGGAGGAGTTGGAGATGTTGTTTATAAGTGGTCCATGTTTCACAAGCATATACAGTGGTACCTCAGGTTAAGTACTTACCGGTAATTCGTTCCAGAGGTCCGTTCTTAACCTGAAACTGTTCTTAACCTGAAGCACCACTTTACCTAATGGGGCCGCCTGCTGCCACCACACCGCCGGAGCATGATTTCTGTTCTCACCCTGAAGCAAAATTCTTAACCTGAAGCACTATTTCTGGGTTAGCGGAGTCTGTAACCTGAAGCACATGTAACCTGAGGTACCACTGTAGTAAGGTTGGTAGTACAATAGCTTTGTAAACAAGCATTTTGGTTTCCCTGCGAATGGACATGGGACATTCCTGCATAGCAGGGGGTTGGACTAGATGACCCTTGGGTTCCCTTCCAGCTCTACAATTCTATGATCTGCAGCTGGGCATCCAACCGCCAAGGGCCTAAAACTAAAGCAGGACCACCCCAGTCCTGAAAGCCAGTGTGGTGTAATGGTTGGGCTAGGAACTGGGAGACTATGATTTAAATTGCCACTTGGCCTCGGAGCTCAGTTGATGACTTTGGACTGGTCACTACCTCTCAGCCTTATTTACCTCACATGGCTGTTGTAGGGATTCAGTGAAGGGGAAGAACCATGCTCCTTGGAGAAGATAGAGGGATATAAATGCAGTAGACCAGTGGTTTCCGGCTGGTGGTCTGCAGACCTCAGGGGGTCTCCGTATTCCACCCAGGGGTCTCTGTCACCATTCACATAACAAAAACTACCATAGATATATCAGCATTTTCAAATGTAGGGGGTCCATGGCTTGGCTTTTGAAAAACTGAGAGTCTGCATTACTTAGCTCACTGGGAACCACTGCAATAGATAAAAGGCATAACCACATCTACTCTCCTCATGAGTTCAGATGGGAACATGCTGGTGTTTTCAGATAAGGCAGCAGCTCTTCTTTTGGCATTTTCAGATTCTGCAGTATCAATGTTAAAAGCTTCACTGGCCAGAATGAACAACTGATTTATGAATTCTTCTCCCTCCCCCACTGCCTATCCTGCAGTGACACCATTCCGATTGTTTCCCCAAAGGGGCCTTTGAGCATTTCATGCACAATTTGATTTGCGTGTGGTACGTGTGCATTGGAATGGAACAGAATGAGGATGAGAAGGGAAGTGGAATCTAAGTTCACCCTGGTGTAGGTTAGCATTCTCACCACAGATGACTTACAAATCTGGGTGCCCAGGAAGATCCCCATGCACACCACAACAAATTGCCAGAGAGAGGTTCAAAGGCACTTTTAATAGTTGTATAGAAATAGGTCTCTAATATGTTCTTTCAGTTGGGCTCTAATATGAATGGAAACCCACCTTGGTGAGAAGGCCCATTCACTTTCTCTTTGGCACACTTTTCTGCATGAACACCATGCATACAGTAGTGTGCCACAGATGAAGAACAAAAACAAGCAAGGGTTAGCACCCAGAGGAGCCTATGATGACAGAGTATTATGCAACTCTGGCCATGGGAGTAGCTGGGGGGACAGGGGGGCAGCTACCCCTCCCCAGATCAAGTAAATAAATAAAGATATCTAACTGAGGTTCTGCCCCCGCGAAGCCTGCCCCCCAATCAATCCTGGCTACGCCCATGACTCTGGCAGAGAAACCCCAGGAAACAGATGGGACGCTATGAGTGCAGAGTGTGAATTCCTAAGGCGTCAGTTTCACTTCAGAAACAAGACCAGGTTACAGAACAGAAAAGAATGGGGTATGTTGATGGTTGTTAAGTAACACTTATTTGGTTGCACATTGTTATGGTTTACTGTTCTTTCATTTTTTTGTGAATGAAGATAATTGATTCAACTACAGTAATGTGTCCTGTCAATAAAAGCTCTGTGCAAGAACTTCCACTTGTGCAACAGAGTTTCCCACCCTTCTCCTTCCCCCATGGCCCTGAAACTGTCATGGGGGGGGGGGTTGAGGGTTGCAAGAATACCCACAACAGCATTCTGTCTGGTGAGTCAAATTCCTTGTGTTGATGGAACAATCATAACATTGAATTTCACACACACCTTATAAATAGTAAAGAAGAAACAGAAAAGAAGTGAAAAGAACAAACAGAAACCAGGTAATTCCCAAACTCTCAGAAGATATCCATATAAGAAGAATTTCAGAAGCATCGGGGGGGCGGGGGCGGATCCTGTCACAAGGATGTAAGAAAAGCCCTGCTGGGTCAGGCCAAAGGCTCGTCTAGTCCAGCATCCTGTTCTCACAGTGACCTACCAGATGCCTATGGGAAGCTTCTGAGTGCTGTGTATTATCTGATTTCCTCAACGTAACTCTTGGCAGAAGAGAAGAGACAAACAGTTCCATAGCTTAAACATATGAAGTCAATGGGAACTTGGGCCGTGGAGCTGCCTTTAAAATACCGTATTTTTCGCTCTATAAGACGCACCAGACCACAAGACGCACCTAGTTTTTGGAGGAGGAAAACAAGAAAAAAAAATATTCTGAATCTCAGAAGCCAGAACAGCAAGAAGGATCGCTGCGCAGTGAAAGCAGCAATCCTTCTTGCTGTTCTGGCTTCTGTGATAGCTGCGCAGCCTGCATTCCCTCCATAAGACGCACACACATTTCCCCTTTTTAGGAGGGAAAAAGTGAGTCTTATGGAGCAAAAAATACGGTAATTCACCAATGCCTCACTTCCTACTCAGGACTTTTAAATACCCAAATGATTTTTGTCATGTGTGCTGTGCTCACTAAGGGATGTTGTTTTCCATGAGGATTAACTTTCTGAATATAAAATTCTCCTCTCACTTCTCAGGACATGAATGGAAATTTACTGGGGCTGGGGTGGCCAAGTGAAACCTTGCCCTTGAATAGTTGTGTAGAAGAGGGAATTTCTGCTCTTCTGCAGACCTATTAAACATCCAGGAGACCTGGCCTCCATCTCACCTGGCCTCCCTAGGGAAGGTGTGCTTATACATGCTTATAAACATGGGACCCAGTGATGCTGAATTTAATCCTGTACCATTCCTCACACTGACTGACCTCTGGATTGTTCACATTCCTTTTTCTGCTGCGTTCATATCCTGCTTGCAGGCTTCCCATAGGTATCTGACAGGCCAATGTGAGAACAGCTTGCTGGACTAGATGGGTTCTTACGTTCTAACGTATTTGAGATGCTATATGTGGTGAGCATAGGAAGCTGCCTTATACCAAAACAGACAATTGATACCTTTAGCTCAGTATGTGCTGCCTATAGAAACTGGCAGCGACTCTCCAGGGTTTCAGACAGGTAACCTTCCCAGCCTACCTGGGGATTCTGGGGATTAAACCTGGGACCTCCTACAGGAAACACACATACAGTGGTACCTTGGCTCTCAAACGCCTTGGTACTCAAACAACTTGGAACCCAAACACAGCAAGCCCAGAAGTTAGTGTTCCGGTTTGCGAACTTTTCCCGGAAGCCGAATGTGCTCCGTTTTGATTTTTACGCTTCCAATTTGAGTGCCACACTTCCATTTTGAGTGTTACACTGAGGTCCGTCTGTTTTTGCTATTTATTTTGCGTTTTTGTTTTTGCGGCTTTTTTGTTTTGTTTTTGTGACTGTGTGGAACCCAACTCAGCTGCTGATGGATTGGTTGTGTGACTGCAGTACATTGTTTATTGCTTTCGTTTTATGGATCAGTGGTCTCGTTAGATAGTAAAATTCATGTTAAATTGCTGTTTTAGGGGTTGTTTTTAAAAGTCTGGAACAGATTAATCCATTTTGCATTACTTTCTATGGGAAAACGCGCCTTGGTTTTGGAATGCTTTGGTTTTGGAACGGACTTCCGGAACGGATTAAGTTTGAGAACCAAGGTACCACTGTACTCTACCTGTAAGCAATGGCCATTCTCTAAACAAACAAACAAACAAACAAACAAACAACAACAAAAGAACTCTGTGTGATCTCAGCCCAAGGAAGTCTCTCCCACCACCTAGTACCTAAAATGCTTTTAACTATGGGTTTTCAATCCAGGACTTTCCACATGGAAAGCTTGTGCTCTACCCTGAGCTGTGGCGTCTCCTCTGGCATTTGATCTGTGATGGTGCATTCACGTGAGGAAGTGGGTCCCTGGTGCTGCAGCCACCTGGTGAAAGGATGTGTGAATCAGCCCTAAAGAATGTCCAACCATCATATATTAGACTGATTCTGATGTCATGCCATTGCTCCAGTTAATGAAAAGGAATAATGGAAATGAACTACTTTTGATCACAACTAACTTTCAATGGCAATGTATTGTTCCCTTTGTGCATCAGTCAAAATCATTGTGCTTGAGAAATCTGGTCTATAGATTCACAGCGCAGCATCTAAAATTGGCACCTCTTTTGCATTTGAGTTGCAGTTGCGCACAAAACAAACTGACA